TCAAAATGTTGATTTTGGCAAACAAGACAAAAATGTACTTCGCCTGCGTTACAGCCAGCCCGTGCATCATCCAGACAATAAGTAAGTTGCGACAATTGCTTTATCAAAAAGTACAATCTATTTACTTAAAAAAACTGCCCCTACACCCTGTAAAGTGAATTTGTCAGGTCAGCAAACAGCCAAGATTTATCAGCAATTGCACTTGTATGCATTTGCCATGTTAAATTTGATGCCTGACTAGCCCCAGGTCAAAAAATGGTCAGGGAAAAAAATCTACAAGATCAGTGAACATTCAGGGAATTTTTTCTCGAAGTCAGGGAAAATTTAAGTCTTTGAAAGAAGTCAGGGGGAGAACTGAAATACATACATGTATCTTTCCTTTTCCCTCCACTTTTATTGTTGTCTAACATTTAAAATTCTTTTTACATTTTACAGACATGAATCATATTGTATCGGTAGAATATTGTTCATAAAAATTGAGCGATAAGCTTATGTTGGGTTTTCAAGAAAATCAATCCTTTTTGCCACGTTATGCTAAGTAACTATCAATTCACGCACACTGCATGTGAATTACTGAAACCATAAATAAATGGAAGGAGAGGATGGCTGTGAGAGGAGTGTTCAGTCCATTATCAGGAATAATTTGTGAAAATGTTAATTCAGCTTGTCAGGGAAATTTTAGATTTTTTAGGAAAATGTCAGGGTATTTTAGAAACCTCTTGCTGTGGCAACCATATCTTACATGTGCATGTAGTCATGCCTCTACACGTACACCACTATAGTGAGTGCAGAGTGTTCCTGTTGAATATGATCACTGCCAACTATCCGGACTGTCGCCAAGATTTTGCATTGAGTTGCTTTAAGAAGGAGCTTCAGTTCATGAAATCGTGGTCTAACATGTGCAAAATTTGTTTCTGTCATCTCTACCCTTTTCCAGTGTACGAAAGTAAATGCCCAGGAAAATAAATTTAGCAAAGGTCCCTTTCACCGTAATGATGGCCAGGCCAGCCTAATTAACTGTTTGTAACAGGAAGTTAATGGCGCTGAACTCAGTGAAACATTTCGTGTACAGATAACGTTTTCTAAGGTTAACTTCTTTTTTATATTTTCTTCTCTCTTTTTAAGGGTAAGGAATTGGGCAGTATTATATATGCAGCAATTGCTGCGGCTTGTTTGTACATATACCTGATGCATCTAGTCACGGAAGAGGCAACAAGGGTCTCGCATCTCGGACTTCTCTGTGCAATTGTTACGATTATAATGCAAGCTTCACCCCTTGCAGATGTGGTATGTGTATATATTAATGGTGTTATATTTGTGCACGAGTGCACAAAAAGAAAAAAAAAAAGAAAAAAATTGAACCAACGGTAAACTAAACCACAACGTATTATTAAGAGAAAGTTCTGTGGAGCCCTGTTGGTGTGAACCTTTCAACCAAATTTGGGCAATTTCGCTAAAAGCTGATAGAACCGTTGTTGTACCCCTGAAAGTGTATTTGGTCCGTTTTCTAAGTCTAACCGCCCTGGTCTTATCTAATCTAATTTTTCCATTCCCATTTTCTGTGCCACCAAGAAAGAGTAATGGGACAGAGGGGATATGAAGGTGTTGGCCAGGATATGTGAATTTCACTTCAGATATTTTTAGAGCATGTAAATAAACGGAAGTAGCCTGGGACTTCCTCACATTTTAATCGATTGTTTGAAACGTCATCAAGTCCACTCGCGACCCGGCGTTTTCCCCTCTGTCACACCATTCTCTCACATCATATTCTTGGAAAGTTTCACCCCCATTTATAGGATAGATAATATATCGTGAGTACGTCGCGTGCTCCCCCAATTTTGACATGGTGTGTGACACGCTCACACCCCCCCCCCCCGCCCCCCGTTTTCCCCCCTCGCAACCCTCTCCTCCCCCAATTATTTTTGGAAATTTTCCCCCCCCATTTCCCCCCCCCCCCCCCCCCAAAAAAAAGAAAAAGTGAGTATGTAGCGCAAGGAAGCGCGCAAGTATAAATATTTACTCGTGTCATGTACAAGGTCGTTAAAAGCAGTTGGGACAAAACAAGCGAGAGTCGAGGCGTACATCCTTGGTTACACCCTACTCTTCCCAGGCAACCGTTCTCTTTTTTGTAATAAGAAGTGGCAACTAAGCATGAACGATTAAATTTACGCTAAACTGAAAAGCAGTGGCCAGTACAGCAAGCTAAAACATGCTCAAAACTTCACAAGATGTTGTCCACAATTCTTTACATAACAGTGACCAGCCGCAGAAAGGGGTTTGTGTACCCATACTAACAGTTATTACCAAATGCAAATTATCTGAAAAGGGATAAGGTTTCTTTTTATTAAATATCCAATAACGTAGAAGTCTGTTCATGTTTATACGATCAGATAAAAGCAATAACGATCAGTGGACTTGATTCATATACATATATCTGCATGTCGTAACTAACCAGAGGGATATTTGCCGTTGAAGCTTTGCCAGTGATTGGCTTATTAAA